TTAGGAAAAAAACCAATGGGAAAAAATCCTAATGAAGGGAAAAAGAGTACATCTGACGCCCCCAAGATGAAGCAAGAGGTGAGATCCTCAGCCTTTATTGCAATGATCGCCATCTGCGAATAGGATGGCTAGAACTGTTCTTCTCGTCGGACTCAGACTCGTTAGGTTTGTCATTTGCTTCCTTGAAGATGGTAAGACCCTCAGTCCCCCGCTTCATTCAGTTATATCTACACATAAAAGAAACTAGTGTAGAATAGAGCATCTGGCCTGGTGTCGAACCACGGCTCAGTGTGTAAGTGAGTCGGACTCACTACTTGAAAAGAATGACATCAAGTTCCCAAGTTAGGCCTTAACCCAGTCTCCGAAAGAAAGATTGAATCCGCGAGTAAGTGAGCCGGACTCCTCACTCGAATGGATAATCCAACCCCAAAGAACTAAAGTATATCAACCTTTTCGAAAAATGTGAATGTCAATTAAGTGACAAAATTGCTCGGAAGAGTGTGGCTCTAGGCCCCTAATAAGAGTTTAACTCGCCGCCCGAGGTTAGTAGTTCGAACCCGCGAGTAAAAACTTTTGAACGGGTGACTCGTCCCCCGAGATCGGAGTGTGATGCACTTGGAAAGGGTAAGAGCACGCAAGAACTCGTATGAAGTCAAGAGTGTGCGGTATTAACATTTATATTGGAGCTTATTAATCGCCACACCCATATGACGTGACCCGGTGGCGAGTGTGTGTGCTCGGCCAGTGTACGAGTGTGTGTGCTCGCCCGGTGTACGTGAGTGATCGGATTTCATAAGCCCGTTTTTCAATGTTAAAATTACACACGCTTAACAAGAGTAAAAGCAATTAAACCACTTAAAATATGTTTTCAAATGTTTGGATTTTTGATTTTTTTTGGTATCAAATATAGAAGATTTTTTGAAACTTAGCTTTAGAGCCAAACGGGCCCGAATGCGTTGTTGAAAATTCAGCCCATCATCCTTGAGGAGAATCAAATTTGGTCTTAGTGTAATCTTGGTCCATCCACTTTAACGCAGAGCAGACTCCTGCTCCATAGGAATTAGGTGGGCGCCCATTTGAAGGCCTATCTCATGAATAGGCATGGCGATGAGGGAGACCAGCAGCGACGTCGGCGCACGGCATCCAACTGTGATTGGTGAAGAGAACAGGAGGAAGTGGGACTGTAGCACCTTGGATTGGGATGAATTTCTTGAATTTTTTCCTACTAAAGTACGTGATGTGAGAGATCAATAGAGGCTCTCAATGAAAGCACCGATGTTGGTCCAAAATAGGACGCTCGTAGGCTTTTAGAAAAGCTACGTATGACACTCAAGCAAGAATTAGGAAAGTACGAATATGGAAAGTTAGCCAGAAATAGCATATAGAAGTTGTCTCCCCTAATCTGAATTACAACCCGCCTTTTATAGGCGTATACAAATCGTAACTGTTACCGATAATAATGACTAATTAATTACAACATTAATACGGAATTAAATATATAATTAATAACGCATTAATTGCTCGACCGTTACTCTTCCGGGCTAGGAGGTCGGCCGGACTGACAGGCTCCCCGCCGGGCTGGCAGGCAGGCTCCAGGTTATGGACTTGGATCCATGGGTCCAAGTTCGGAGCTTGGGCTTATTAGGCTCTGGGCCTAGTCCCATTACTCCATCAATATCAACTAATATCTCAAATACAACCCTTTCGTATAATAATATTCACTCAAATTCAGCACACATAAATTCAATTCTCAAATATGCACACAAAAATATTTAAAAGAAATCACGAAGAAAAAGAACTAATTTCGGTTGATGTGAGACTTACCTTAAGTCCAAATGCTCATATTTCTCTTCCTCTATTTCGGTCTCTATATAATCACCTTTTATTTAAAATTCACAAATTAATACTAGTATCTAATAAGCCTATAGTTAAATTCATCTACCCTTATAAATTCCCGATCTTACGATTTTATTTACCTATTTCAAGAATTGTTCCATCTCGTTATTAGTTCATAATAACGAGATCTATTTTATTTATAGTTATCCACTTATATTGAACTTAAAAAAATCTATCCACTACAGTTCATTCAACTTATTTTAACAATTCATTCAGTTTATATATTTCATTAATCAACCCATCTCGTATAAAGTAGTCTAATTAGTTAATATATCCGGCCCAGCTACTAAAATTTCAGTGGCCTAGAAGAAATAAAACAAAGCAGCAATACGGAGTAAGAATTTCGTACAGATATTGTAGCTGTCGTCTTCGTCATCCTCACGCAGTGCCAGCGACGCACGGTAAGAAGACGGCAACGCAGCTCCGTCGTTAACGGCAGTCGTTCAGCAGCGTTTTTCATTATAGTGGCTGCTCCGGCGGATACGGCGACGAAAACGTTTCGGCGGCTTCCTTCTTCCGTCTGGCGCACAAGATTCTATTCCGGCGGCGGTGACATTCAGCGGCAGCAGTCCGGTCTTGTTCCAGCAAGTCAGCGGCGGTGCTTCCTCTCCAGTGACGCAGACTGGCGACGGGTGACCCCTCCACTTCCGTTGTAAAACAGTGTGCAGTCCTTCAACGTCACTCCGGAGAAGATAGACGTCGGTTCAGCCCTCACCGATGGTCGTTCTTCTTCCTTGAGCGATGATGCAGCAGACCAGGTTGTTCGTTCCTTCTCTCGTTCGCTTCAGTAGAATAAAGTGGTGTAGTGTGTTTTAATTTGGTGCGTGTACAGGGGCGGACCGTAGTAGAGATCCAGGGGGTTACCGCCCCAACAAATTTTTTTAGTGTATATATATACGAAAAATGATTTTTGATCTTCCAAAAAGTATTTTGAACCCCACCAAAAATATTTTCGCCCCCCAAAATGACTTTCCTGGGTCCGCCCCTGTGCGTGTATGTATGTGTATGCACTATATATATATATGCAGGTTCTTGTTTTCTTCGATGCAGGTTTTCATCGCAGCAGCTGATGTATATATATAGTCATGAAGAAGAAGATTCGGGTTTTCATCGCAGCAGCTGATGTATATATATAGTCATGAAGAAGAAGATTCTAGGCTGTTCGTAAACCTACTCTTCACATATACTTCCTCCGTTCCATAAAAGTCGCAACATTGGAATTTTTGCACTATTCACATACCTTACTTTTACTACGATTTTCTAATAATATATATAATAAAAATATTATGTATAAAATATTAATAAATTTGTATTAATGTAAATTTCCATTATATTAACTTTTTTTAATGTTTACTAATACGTTAATAAATATAATTACAGTCAAAGTTGTGCGTTGGCAAACGTGAAAGTCAAACTGTTGCAACTTTTATGGAACGGAGGATAGTATATATATATATATATATATATATATATATATATATATATACACACACACACACACACACACTAGTTTAGTAACGCGGGTTGAGCGTTCGTGGTAATGCCCAAGACCATTGTGGGGCCTTAATCACTTGATATATGTTGAGTGAATATATGAGTATAATACAATATTTGAATTCATATATAGTTTGTTATTTATTGATAAGAAATCATAAATAATAAAGTATTTATAGGCTAGATTATAAGTAGGGAAACAAAGCAACCAAGATGACAATAATAACCATAATAGTAGGAGTAAGGTTCACAAAAAACAATATCATAAAACACACAAAAATGTTTTGGTTAGAGAAGTAGTCAAATATTTATTGAGTTGTAGTTCATGTAAGAAATTAAAGCAAGAGTTAGGAAACAAGTTGTACGAATAGAAGTAGTGGGAAATAGTAACAAGTAATCAATCTTTTTTGTTGCGCTTAAAATCAAGAGATGATTGTGGTCCTCTTTTATTCAAGTGACCTTTTTAAGTGACACCGACGATTAGAATACTCTTTAAGCCTCCCAAATGTTCTGATTGTGGTCCTCTTTTATTCAAGGTGCAGTGGCTCAATAATGTTGTAAACTTGTGGAATTGCAGTTTTTCAGTTTTAATGTACTCTAATGATGTTTTTACTTGGACTGAAATTTGCTGGTCTGATATGTTTAAGTCTGATCTGACCTGGTCTGATAAATGTCTGGTCTCTATGTATTTTACAACTACGAAAGTCTAATCTGGTCAGGTTTTTAAAATATGGTCTGGTGTGAAACTGCAAACAGTTCAAGTAAAAACATCCTAATATGGCGAAGGTTGAGTCTATTTTTAAATTCAAACAGTGTCAACTTTTGCTAGGCATCCGTGTATACGTATCGTAGGCACAAAGTCCTTGATGAAACTTTTGCCCCAAAGTCGTTGTCGTCGACTCTTCGTAGGCACAAATAATTTTTGAAAGTCATCTTATCATCCCAAATATTTTTTATTCCACAACTTCAGTAGGGGATTTTCATTTATCACCCATATTTGTCTTTTAAGACCTAATACAAGAGTAAAAGAGAATTATGCCATAAAAATACAAGAGTAAAAGAGAATGCGGGAACTTTGAAAGCTAACATTATAAGTAGTAAAAAGATAATCATTTTTTTTTGTTCAATATGTGATACATCTTCACATTCTTCTCTCAACATCATTTGTTCATTTGTTATGAATGTATGCAATAAATTGACCCGTTCTTATTCAACAATGCTAAAAAGAATAAAGGACACTGCATCATGATAGAAAAACATCTGAGCTCTCCTTCGAGAAGTCATCATTCAACAAAGAAAATGATTAGCAGCTGACCAACAAAGAAAGTCATCTCCAGACAGAAAAGGCTTTGTTGCTTCTTCCTCGTCTACATCATTTATTACTTATCAACCCTATAAAATACATCCCCGAAGATCATCCAGAGCTTCTTTCACTGCATAAATGATCATTTTTTTTACTTCCAACTTATCTTCCTTGGCCCTATGATTCTCGGGAAGAGTACGGAATTCCTCAGTCAATCTAATGCATTTAGGAATACTTTCAGGAGAAACAAAGTCAGCAGCAACTTTAATGAATGACTTTAAATTTCTAACTTGATGTGGGCAGCCAGCTGGTATGAGAACATCATCTCCTAATTTCTGAACGAAGGTCCATGGTTCAATCCCGTATTCTTCCTTTAGTCTCCTTTTATGCTCAACAGTCAAGTAAAAAGTTTCATCATGTATAAGATGAACTACCTGCGGCACTGGATAACAATAAATGTGTCTGAACTCCTTGAAATGCTTTCTGAGATATTTTTCCAACTTAGGAACATCTTCTCTCCTAAAAATATCCCAGAGAGCACCACCATCATCACAAATATCTTCTAATGCTTCAGGGGGATTGTTATTACTTAACTGCAATTCACAATTAGTGCTTGTATTTTCATATTCCTCCAACACACTATTTGCACTTGTGCCATGAGTGCAAACCATATTTTGCATACAATTTGGTTGACCATTTCCTTGATCAACACAGTTTGCATTTGGTGTAGTACCATGTCTAGAACATTCTTCATTTAGCCCATCAAATCCATTTTCACACTCTTGCTCCTGGCTGACCTGCCGTTCCAATAGATCCTGTGCAGCATGCTGCTCTTTAAACTTCTGTATACTTGAAAGGTGTTCCATTCCTAATTTTGTTTGATGAATATGTGTCAGTACATTCACCGCATCAGACATATCACAGTGCAGCTTTCTTACTGAGTCCCCACACCCTAATTCTTGATGAATTCCATAAGCAATATACGTCTTTGGCCCCACATCTAGAAGCATCATATGATGCTTACTTCTTTTCCGACCAAAGGCACGCATCATAACCTGTGGTTCCCAACTCAACCCTGATACAGTTTCCAGTACATTACTGACAATTACAGGCTGTCCCTTACTCCAATGCCATTGAAAATGATTCAGATCCCCACGTTGAATGTCTTTAGCTTCAGGATGGTACAGATAGTTATCAGCAGAATCCTCCCGAGATGCTGCCTTGAACAGCTTGTCACTAAGTTCATTCTTGCTAAAAGTTCTCAAACAAGAACACCATGGATCAGGAAACCCATATAATTCATTCAACTTGCAAGTATTTGCTATTTCTTCTACTCTGGCTATTAACTCTGAAACATAATTTTTCTCCAACAAGTGTTTTAATACTAATGTTCCCTCGTTACAACCACCCATGTTCTTTGGAGGACAAGGAATGTCACCTTTCACCCCAGTTTTCCATTCTATGCAGCAATCACCATCACTCTCGGTGGTTTTCACTTCAGATTTTAACTCAATTTCCTCATCAGGAAGTTCGTCATCATTACCATTGGGTTTCATTTCAAATTCTAACACAATATCTTCTTCACTAGATTTTAACCCAAAGTCTTCAATAGTAAGGTTTTCATCAGTCCTCTTACGTCTTCTTTCTTTAACAGGCTTGCTATCAGTGTCACCATACAGATATTCTATCCCATTGTTAATGTATTTGAAAACTACTTTTTCATTCCCCTGTAAGTGGCCATTCCTCAGCTCTTGGCAGCAGGTAAGACAAAGGTCAAAGGAACACTTTGAACAACTTCTATGATTATAAAAAATTATCATTTTTAGTTATTATCATTATGATCGTATAACTTAAAATCTCAAAACAAAAACTGATAAGGTAAATTATCATTGGGATTTTCTTACTTTTAGGAGGAGAAATCCGCCTTCATGTGCACCAGAAATCTTTAACTCCTTTGACCACTTATGATTTCTAAGACTATCACACCAAAACTATACACATCAACCTTCTATGATAATTCACCATGAATTGCATACTCTGGTACTATGTACCACTGAAAAAAGACTTATACTCCGTATAACATAGGCGATCACAAAAATACCTAAAAGTAGCACAAACTTATATATTTGAAATCATTCTTGCTTGTATAGATCATAAAAAGGCTTCAATAATCCATGAACTAATACAATTGTGCTTAAGGAAAGAAAAGAAATAAACATAATTTCAACTTACAGTGTTCAGAAAGTGAAAGGACTATAAAATATGCAAAAAAATTGAGACTTCTTGCATCTCCAACTTTTAATACTATTATTACCTAATAGAAAACTATGTAAATCTTTGAAACGTCATAACTTCTATGACTTTTATAGCAGAGAAAATTTTGTCTATAAAACTTTGTAACTTCTAATGTAAACTATAGAAGGGAAGGAAATTAACATCTTTGTATGAAACTAAAACTCAACTAAAACAAATTATTTTTTCAATATAATCAGAATGCAAAGAAAATAAATTGTTGATCATAAGGCATCATTCCAATCCTGCCTAAATTAGAGATCTATATGAATATATAGGTAAAAAAAACTATTTTTGAGTTGTTTGTCTTAATACAATTGATAATCCCAGAATACTTAACAAACAACAAATATAGCAGTTATAGAAGAAGCAGATAGAAAGAAATCGACAAGTTTATACCCAAATCTGGTATACCGTATGAAAACCGGCCGCTGCTCTCCCTGGAGAAGGAGAGCAGCGGCAAACCTAAACTCTCTCTATCTTTACGCCTCTAAACTCTAAGCCTCTGTCGATCGTTAGGGTTCCCGTAAGTTAGCCTCCTTTTATAGGAGAAGTTAGCTAACTTACGGGTTACAAGGAAGCCCACGGGCTGATACACATTTGTGGCCCGTATTACACGTTTAATTGATAACTACACAAATACAAAGATAACTAACTAGATTGAACACCATAAAATATTCCCAACAATCTCCCCCTTGGTGATCAATCGTGTTGAATCAGCATTGCAGCGCATATATCTTTGTCTTTGTTGTTATTGAGCTTCCTTTGTCTTTGAACTCGACTTCTGAGGAAGGCTATCTGAAGAAATCCTTGCAATCTCCCCTTTGATGTCTTCTTGACAATTTGATCTTTGATGCCGGGGGTTGAGGGACCTTCAGTATCTTGCATGTAGTCCTTGCCTTCCAGAAGTTGCTCTTGATCAGCTTGGATGAAGTCTGGTGACGCCTCTAGAATGAATACTCTTTGGAGAATAGGAGACGACCATGGAATTCATCTTCAGGACACGAGTATTTGACCTCTGTCTCCTCCACAATGTAGTCTTTTTGACTATTCGGAATGAATGCATTTGAGGAGAACTTGTCAGTGGCACAGCGGAACATAATGATGGTTGATTTGTGAGTGTAGCTGACCATTTGATTTGAGTTGCGGAGATAGTAGAGAGGGTGTTGAATTTTGTGATGGAGGAGTGAAGTGTCCCAGAATGATTTGATCAGTGTTAACAGCATGTGGACCACTCTCCCCCTCATGACGATCCGATGAATCGGGACGTCATGCTTTTATTCTTTTATTCTGCGGAAATAAAAACATGAAAAACAAGCAGAATCTAAAAAAGATAACGTAGCCCCCCGGGGTCGTGAAGACGCCCGTTATCATCACTATAGAGATAAACTCTAAAGCAATGGCCTGAAAATGTTGGTGATTCTTATGTTGCAACAGCAGGACTTCCTTCCAATTATTGGTCTACATCTGTATTAGATGAGCCCTATGGAAGTTCTCGCAAGTCTTGAAGACTAGCAACTGACTCTAAAATGTGTCTGTGTCCTAGAAAATTTCAAAACATTTGGGAGTGAGTAACTAGACACGACGTGATCAATGAAAGTTCAGTGGCATGGGGCTGAGGCCACTGTAGTCAGTATTACTTGCCTCGGAAGGAGACAGTAATGAGAGATGCGGTTCCCCGTGAACTATGATTAAACACCTGTCTGTTGGGAGACAAGTGAGTGGTCTAGGGTAGGGTTGTGCATGCGCCGTTTGGACAAAATGCAGCGACTTCTACCCGGGATCTGAATAAATTCAGTCCTGAACCTATGGGGATAGTCCAGAGTATTTTAGTGGCTAGGAGCAAATGTTCAATTCATAGCAAGCAATTGAGGTAGCAGACTCATCATTGATAATTGTTTTTCTTCTCACCTGAGCCTTCTGCTTCCTAATGCTCATAATGTTCACTCACTCACTCGCTCACTCACGCACTTACGCTCGGCTTTGTCCCTTGGGTAGACTTAGTTGGGTTTACTAAGCCATAGGGACATGTTCTCTCATTACTTTCTTCATTTTCTCTCTGTACTCCCCCTCAACTGGAGCACTCGGTATGCTTTGTCATTGTTAGGCACCGGGGAGGATAACATTGAACACTCCCCCTAAAATGTTGCATCCTTTGAGAGATTCCTTGCTTTGTCGGTGTACGGCGCCAGGAGGAGAAAACTGAAACTCCCCCTCAGAATGTGCAAGGTTTGATTGCTCACAGCTTGTCATACCCGCCATGTGTGTGGAGCAATCTGAACATGTACCACACATGACGGTTTCCCTGAGCTCACCATGTAGAATTTTAGCATATTGATGATCACACAATGTTGATGAGTCAGGGGAGGCTTCAGCAGTTGATTGTTGATTGTTGTAAGATGACCGTTGACGCGAGGTTGATTGAATTATCTACGATTTTCAGACCTTTACATTGAAGTTTAGAAAAGCTTTGACCTCAGGGTTTACAATGAAAGAATTTGAACAGATTTGCCTAAGTTTTGACCTGGACATCGGTGATTTACAATGTTTGTAGGAAAACTCACGTTTTGACCCTCAAAGACTGCGAGTGAGGGCGCGTGAGATTGGGTTCTGGGGCGTAGCCCCAGAATTAATGTAGATCTTTGCGTTAGCTTTCCAACAAAAAAAAGTTTGCTCAAATCGGATCACCGAGTCAAAAGTTATGGCCAAAACAGTGCGGTGTCGCAGAAAATCTCTAATTTTGAGTTTTTGAGGAAAATCTTCGAGGTTGAGGTTCTCGATGTTGAATTTCGAGAGCAGGTGAATTTAAACAAAATTCTAAGGCAAAAACTCGAAATCCAAATCTGGAGATTTTAATTTCGAGTTTGCCTTGAAGAGTAATGACGAAATCCACCTGCAAAACAGACCTCAGAATAACGAAATCTTCAGAATTTCAAAATGTTTGGAACCTCGAAAACTTTGGAGTTTCGAAAAATCTCATAATCTCGAAAACTTGCTGTTTGAAAAACATCAGAACATCGAAAACTCCTGAAACATTTATATAAGCAGGGAATCATTCAGAGATCCTTATAATGTAAAGCTTCGATGAACTGCAAAGGATGTCAAGATTCGAATTATGAGTTCCAAGAAACTGCAAACTTTGAAAAATTCAAAACATCGAGAAATTCCGAAAATTCTGAAATTTTTTAGAATGTCGAAATCCAAAACATCGAGTTCCTAAAACTCGAAATCAATTCCAAAACTCGCAATTCCAAAACTCTCAAATTTTTAAAAAACTCGAGGTTTAAAACTCGATGTCAGAACTCGAGGTATAAAACTCGATGTCAGAACTCGAGGTTTAAAACTCGAGGTCAGAACTCGAGGTTTAAACTCGAGGTCAGAACTCGAGGTTTAAAACTCGAGGTCAGAACTCGAGGTTTAAACTCGAGGTCAGAACTCGAGGTTTAAACTCGAGGTCAGAACTCGAGGTTTAAAACTCGAGTTGAAGACCGCGAGTTTACGCATCGAGTTGAAGACCGCGAGTTTACGCATCGAGTTGAAGACCGCGAGTTTACGCATCGAGTTGAAGACCGCGAGTTTACACATCGAGTTGAGACAGTATGAGCATGCGCTAAATTTCAGAAAGCATTACTTCAGATCTCAAAAATAAATGCAAGACGGCACTTGATCACAAAGGGGGAGATTGTTGAAGACTATTTA